TCGTTTGGAGAAGAAAATTCTTCAAATAAAAGTTACTTCTAATATAATTATTTATAATTTTTGTTTTATGCAAAATTTTCCTAAAATGGTCCGTATTCGAGAAATTTGACAAAATGTAAAAAAAAAAATTTTTTATAAAAATTGTTCAAATAAAAGTTGTTTGTAATATAATTTTCTATAATTTTTGTCCTATACATAATTTCTCTAAAATAGACCGTATTCGAGATATTTGAGAAAATGTGTAAATTTCGAAATTTGAAGAAAACTCAAAAACGGATAAAGGAAAAAACATTAAATTTTAAACTTAAGGTTTATTTCGGCCTGACGTGAAATGATTAGATTTTGGACAAAGTCGGAACATCTGGGGGGGGGTACTTTATGGGAGGCCGTTTTTATATTTTATGGAATATATCTGTTATTTATGTTTGGAGAAGAAAATTGTTCAAATAAAAGTTACTTCTTATATTATTATCTATAATTTTTGTTCTATGTCAAAATTTCCTGAAATGGTCCGTATTCGAGAAATTTGACAAAATGTGCAAAATTCTGATTTTTATGAAAATTGTTGAACTAAAAGTTGTTTGCGATATCGATTTCTATAATTTTTGTTTATATATGATTTTTCTAAAATGGACCGTAATGGAAAAGTGCTAAATTTAAATTTTTCTGTATTTTCGTGAATATCTATAGAAAAATGTTTCGAGGTAGATGTATGTGGAAAATGTATATATTTAGTTTATCCTCTAAACATTTATAGAGATGATGCAATAGGTTGTACAAAATAACCGGAAAATGCCTATAATAACTAGATAGAAAAGTCATGTGTTGGACACATCAGATTTTTTTAAATTGTCTCAGTACCTACCTAGTATTTTACTAGCACAATGATATTATATGAATGTGCATTGTGTGATATCTTATATTTTAGGAATAAAATGATATATTTTTTGCAGGTTTCTGTTAACAACGATTCCAAGAACTTTTGAATATATTATTAAAACGGCCTTTGCAAATATAATTCTCAATTAATAGGTTTTGATCTAACATTAAATTTTTGTTCTCCATTAGGTTACAGCTTCCTAAGAAGAAAATTTAACAAGACTTACCAGACTCAAAATATCAAAATTTTACCAATCAATTGATGGTTCTACTAGTTTCCATAGGAAAATTCTCCTCGAAACTACTAAAAGAAAAGTGGCAGAGGCAACCGATGAAGGCAAAAAAGTCTTTTGCAAAACAAAAACTAGAAATTTGTTTAAGAATCTAATTATTGTTTGAAGTTTTACCATTAATAATTTTTGATAACGATTTCAGAATATGAAGTTTTATTATGTATTTTACTCTTTGACAACCTATGTTTAAATTTTTATTAGGACCAAAATAAATTATAATTTTCATTTCAACTACAAAAACCCTCATAATATAAAAAACAGGAAAAAACGTTAGATTAGTTATGTTCAGGAATAAACTCTTTAAACATATATCTACTTAAAATGTGTTACTTTTAGAAGGTATGGTATTAACTTTCCATTTGTACTTGTATTAATTTATTTCATTTTATTATCTGTTGTATTTTCAAATTGATTTTGATATTAATCTTATCTATTTATATATTTCTTATATTCCCATATATGTTTTTTTTTTTTCATTGAAACAAACGTTTATTAGCTTATTAAATATAATGAATTCATATTGTTTTATTATATGCTTGTATGAATGCTACTGTATTTATTTATAATAAAATTGATTTTAAGGTTTCATTCTTCAATTGAAAAAATTAGACCGTTACAGTGATTTTGTTTCATTTCCTGCATTAGACACATATAAGACGGTATTCCTTTTAAATATAGTAAAATTAGCAAATTTTTTAGTTTTTTTTTTTTACAATTAAAACGTTTGGACAATGTTTGTTTTTATAGATAAATGATACGCCACTGAACAAGAAGGATGTTTACCTTCCCCCTTGTGCCCGCTTCCTCACTTCCTCTACAGATGTTGATAACACAACAATCGCCTACAAACTCGTTTTCACGCTCCCTCTATTAGTAATTGCTCGGAGGAATAGAACAGCTGATAGAAAGTGGGCGTGTCTCTCTTGAAAAAAGAACTGTGGCATTCCTGAGATGCGTTCTATTGAAAACTGATAGAACGATGTTCCCTCCCTTCCTCTAAATGCTTCTCTTGATTATTTTCGGGGAACGCGGCCAGGGAACGCAAATATAACTGACATTAGTGACATTTCGTCTATGTATTTCGTTTATATGAGGTTATGGTCGATTGTGAATTTAAGTGATATTTTGAAATATTGTTATTATTATTAGGTGTAGATTAATTTCGCATAAATATAGTTAGTGGTGAGTGTCAGGATTCAGGATGAATATTCCTGAATTAATATTGTGGGAAGAAATCCAGATAAATATCGAAGATGCTGAAGAATTATTAGAAAATCGGCGAGAAATTCTTTCCCGTGGAGATCCTTTTAATTTATCTGACGATAAATTTTGTAAAACTGTTTAGATTGACGAAGCCTACAAGAAGATCAGCCCTTACAATTCAAACTAAGGTAAATAATTATACCTACTATTTAATTTTATAAAAATGAAATATAAGTAGGAAGACATGTCTAGTCACAAATCCTACTAAATCTTATACAGTGTGTCTACTTAAGTCGGCACCATAATAGGTATGAGAAACTTTTTTAAAAGTAATATTTTGCTAAATAGCACTGGGTCAACTGTTCTACTTCTGAAATACAGAGGCTTGAAGTTAAAATTATTTTTTTGTTTTTTGGCAATATTTTTAACATATTGAAGATGAACTATTATTTTTTTTTTTTAATTCTTGGCATTTCTAAGACATGTATACTTGTTTTAATGGCATACATTCATCATAGGTATTTAGAAAAATTGCAAGGCCTACTATGTTAAAATATTGTTAAGTAAATTAAATAAATAGTGGCTAGAAAATTTAAAAAACAATTTTTTTGAAATTTATGCTTTTAAAATAAGTACGTTTTTTGTTGTACCATAAAGACTTTAAAAACATTTTAGAAATGCCAAGAATAAAAACAAATAAGTTTTCTTTATCCCATAGAGTCCTCGCTTTGTCTTATATCAAAATTGATAATATACTTATAATTTACTATCACAAAAATATAACCATGCCAAATTCCAAGGCCATAAGTTAAAAAATAAAGAAAATATTAGAAAAAAAATGAAAAATAAATTTTAGCACCATGTATTTCAGAAGCAGATTATATTTGACTTACTTTTATTTAGCAAAATATTAATATTTTGAGGTCCTGAACCTATGGCTAAAATATTTACTTTTTTTAATATCAATTTTTGATATTATTAAAAATAAAGTTAGATACTTTATTTACCCTTGAATAAAATTCATATTTTTTGACGAACCTCGTACATGACTGAAAAAATTGATATCTAATGGTTGAATTGTATGTTTTAGACTGTACATAACTTTTTATGAACAGTAACTTATAATTCATAATAAAAAAGTTTCCCATATGGTGCCTCACTTAACTGTATAATAAGATGAAAAACATAATTAAATTTTAGGTTTTAGCAGCTCTTCGTTTTTTTGCTTTGGGAAGTTATCAAGAAATAACTGGCTCAAACTTTTATGTGGCTATAAGCCAGTCTTCCATGAGCAGATGCATTGAAGAAGTATGCAATGCTTTAAATCGGCCAGAGATAATGAACATATGGGTACACTTCCCAAGAAACATGGAGGAAATGCAAGATCTGAGATCTAGGTAAAATTACTTACTAGGTTATTTGAATCTTGATATTTTAACCAATGATACTTTAATATTTCAGATATTTTGAAAAATATTAATTTCCCGGTGTTATTGGTTGTGTGGATTGTACACATGTTGGAATAGTGGCCCCTCATATTAACGACCCCAATTTTCCGGAACATGTGTATGTCAATAGGAAGAATTACCAATCCATTAATGTTCAGTTGGTAAGTTATTTTTTTACACTAAAGTAGTCACTTTATGGTATTATTATTTCCTAATAAATGTTATATGGGCTATACATAAAATTATTGATTTTAACTGTCAAAAAATTAAACTTATATTATGGTCTAGCTCAAAGCTTTCTTATTTAGGTACTGATAAAGATTTATTTTTTATACAATTATTTCATATAATTATAAAAATAAACTTACTATTGTTTTTCAGATTTGTGATGAAAATCTCAGAACCATGAATGTTAATGCCCAATTTCCAGGTAGTGCACATGATGCAAATATTTGGAGACAGTTAAATGTTTCAGGAATAATGTAGAGAATATATCGACATGATCCAAGAAATGTGTTTTTTTTACTTGGGGATTCAGGTAAAGTCAATTTTAATGTTATTTTTTTAATCGTGTACTCACAGAATATAAAATTAAGATTTTCTAAAAAAACTTTAAGAATTTGCAAATATCAACCTTTTATATTTCAGGATATCCCACAAGACCATGGTTGTTAACTCCAATACCGCTAGACGACTACAGCAAAATATAATTGAAAACAATTTCTTGTAATTTTTATTTGAATAATACAAAATTGATTTTTTTGACGAGCATTGTATTTCATTTACATTAAGTTTATGATTGAAAAAAAAAACTAGTTCAGTACATTTATATATTTATTTTACTAGTTGGACCAAAAGTAAATAAAAAAAAAAAAAACTATAATAATCACAACAGGAAAAAAAACTATATTTATCACACAAAAAATATAACACAAATAGGAAAAACTATAATAATACATAACGAAAAAAAAAAAAACTAATTATCACACAAAAAAATATCACGAATAGGAAAATCTATAATAATAATACATAACGAAAAAAAAACTATAACTATCACACATAAAAAACTATAATAAACATCACAGGAAAATCTAATAATAAGATTAAAAACTAAAATAAACATCTCGAGACAATCCAATGTAACAAAAATAAACTTATCATTGTAAACACAAAGATTTTATGTAGTTAGACGATCTTTAATGATTGCTACATTTTCAGCAATCTGCATTAGCGCAGAGGCAATATTTGTTGCAGCATTTCCAATTACATTAAATGCTGCAATTTGGTTTCTATAAAAATTTTCCTTATTTTCTGAATTCCTAGTTAATATTTCTAATTTTTGTTTCTTATAATTTTTTTTCAAATTCACCATTTCTTTCTGTCATATTAATGAATCTTTCGTTGTGTTTTAGTGAGTTTTGTAATCTACCCGTTTTCGTCATTCTTGGCCTCTTGTTTGTAGGAGGTTGGGTTATTGGGCAACTAGGTACATTTTCGTTTATTGAGGAAGTTTCATTTTCGTTTATTGAGGAAGTTTCATTTTCCTAGAATTAAACATTACAAATAATATATACTCATATATAATATATATCACACCTTTAAAACAAAAGTGACACTATACAAAAAAAATCCATTTAGGGTCTATTTTTTAAATTATTATTTTATTTTTAACCTTCCTGGTTAATAAATAAATTAAAACTAAAATAGTTTCATTAATACCAAAAGAATTACTATGAGTTACTTTAATAGTAATTTTAATAGTAAATTTTTTAGAACAAAATAATATTAAAAGGCAAAAAGTGCTCTTCTAAAAATTTTAAATTTATGTAAAGTGTCACTTTTGTTTTCAATGTGTGATATATATATTTGTTTTGGGACACCCTGTATGTGGATTAGATGCGTTATAAATTTTACTTACACAAATTAAAATGTTAGTTACATCTAAAGATGTACTTGCTACATCTGGCATTGTAAAAAATGTGGCGGATTCCGTAATAATTTCATTCCCACTTATGGCCACAGGAGTTATTATTTGCAATAATTTTGCCTCAAGACCATTAGTGGAACTGCAATGTATCGGTGGTCCACCTCCTGTGCCTTCTGAATGCTTTTTTTGGCCAGCAAACTTAGCCTTTTGGTTTTTTTTAAATCCACCCATGTCTAAAAATCGGTAATTTTAATTTATGCATTAATATTTAATATACAATAGTCTTACTTTTCTCCATTGTTTCCACTCTTTACTGGGACCTCCAGGAACACAATTTAATAAGTTCGATAGCTCTTTCCAATTGGCTATCATTTTTTCTTTCGTATAAGTGGCCATTAATTTGCCAGTATACATTTCTTTTTTGCTGCCAATATATTCCACCATAATTTCTTTTTGGCATCCTGTTATGGGATTTTCTTTAATTTTCTTTGGCTCTCCTTCCATTTAATTTTTTAACTCCACAAACAACACAATATAAATAAATCAGAAAATAAATAAATAAGTGGCAAGTCTATTCTTCTTTTTTTAAGAGTTGATGCCTTCAGCTACAAGGCTATTCGGTCTATTTACAGTAAAATGTTGTATTTTGATTGGTCAGTAGTTATGGCAACACCGAATGTTTATCCTTATGATTTTGTCTCTTCCCTTTTATTGAAGAATAGCGTTCGTTGATGACGATCGAAAGTTAGTAGAAGTGAACAATAAAACGCTCCCTAGGGAGCTTTCTCTTCTACTGCTGTTCTATCGCCGTCAAGAATCGAGCCCCAGGTCTATTGGTTGTTCTTCCTTCTTTTGTGTGTAGATGGTACGAGGTTTTTTAAAAGCTAGAGTTCCCCCAAAGTAGAATCAGGAGACAATAAATAATTATTGTCCAGATGCTCGGGGCGTGGAACGAATTATACGGAATTATGGATCTGGATTGTTTTCAAAAAATGTTGATTTAATATCCTGCAGTTTATCAAGGTTAATTTCTTGAAGTTTGATTTAAGCATTAGTTTATTCATTTTAACCTGTTAGATTAAAACAAAAAAACCGATAATTCCGAAGCAGAAGCGGATGATTAAAACGCACCTATTAAAAATATTGCGCCAAGATGTAGGCAACACGTAATAAGGGTTCAAAATGGCGGAGTTTTCTATCTCCTTTTAAAAGCACTCAGAAAGCTGCGCAGTGCTACCATTCTCCGTATAGTAAAAGAAAATCAAAGTATATCAAAATGTGTGGTATTGAGAGACAATGCTTCATTTAGTTTCATACTAACCGCTAGTGGCTATGTCTTTTTATTTACTACTGTGTACCCAAGTTAGATATTATAGTGTTTTTGCATCCGAGGTTGTGGTTTAATTTTTTCTTATTAATTAAAAATGTAATTTTAGTAGATTTGAACTGTTAGTAAACATAGCTACCAATTGTGCCCACTGTACTCACATGAGTACACCTATTTTTTTCCTGCGTGATTTTCGAAATGTTCAAAAATAACATTTTTCTGTGTTTTACAAATGCAATTCATTACAAAACTGTTGGTTTTATCATTTTTTCAAAAAAAAAAAAACTTCCATGGGCACGAATGGGTTAATATTGTTAGTTAATCTTGTCAAGCTAATTGTCATTTTTAATTGATTAAAACTTTACAAAAGGAGTATAATTCATCTTAATAACATTAACCCATCAATCTATATTTGAGGTATGTTTGAGGTATTTTTTAAGTATTTAGGAAATTTAGCAAGGTGTTCTATTTTGTAAACCCATTGGTTCTCCTGGAAAAAAATATCTACCAAGCACCATCAAAATTTTTTAATAATTTAAACTTATTGGCGACAACCATCGAGATAGAATAAATAATTAGAGACGACATAAACACTATTTTGTGATATGACCTCAGAGTAGTATAAGAGAGGACAGTAAACAATGTTTGTGTTGCCTTGATAATATGGTACGAGAATCGCATCAAAGATTTTAAATAGAGAGAAATAAATTAATATCTCCATCTCTATATTTATTTTTCCAGTTATTTTTAGACAATTATTTAAGTTTTTACTTAAATTCGTTTAATTATGGTGGTGTTAAAAGAGACTTTGGTTTGTAGGGTTTATTTTATACTAGAAAAAAAATTGTGTTTTATGTAGTTTCATATATAAAAGAGGAAGTGAGGTTACGTTTCACTCGTTAATAATATTTTTTACCGAAGAACATGGCCGTAGTTTTAGGAGAAACAAGGAAAATAAAATATGAATTTAAAAAAAAAAAATTGTTATTATATTTAGTGTTCTAAAACACGAATTAGAAAAAACTTATGGTTAGAGGCACTTGAATGGACTCAAATGTTAGAAGTTGAACGAATATATTACATTTGTTCAAGGCACTTTTTAGAGGACGGCTTTGCTGCAACAAATATATTTATAAGTTTGTACGTTTCTAAATAATATCGAGCACTTTTAAAAATTGTATCTTTACTTTTAAGGAACTTTGTATTACACAAAAAAAGCAGAAAAAAGAGAGTAGTGGTGAACCTATGTCACCTAAAAAACATAGAAGGTATTGTGTTTAATAAATTTGGCGAATCAATATTATGTTTGAATGTTTTTAGTATAGCAATTTCTACAAATACTAAATTATTTGATTATGGGCCTTCTTTATTAGTATTATACTTACAACAAATAAAAGAAGTTATAGTTTGAACAAAAGTACCTCATACATACTTCAATATTAAGTTCAAGGTATGACTCTGCAACTCTCATCAACAAAATTTGAGTCGCCATGAATTAAGAAGTAAATCAAACATTGGATTTGATCTAAGCAATACATTAAATTGTATATGAATACTTATTTCAGAAAACCTACATATTTTGGTAACTTTATATTGATGTTTCTAGAAAATCGGTCATCACGAAACTTTTTTGTTGCCAACAGTACTGATTCCAACTTACGAAACAAGAATAAAACATTACAGGCACAATTAAGATGAGTGAAAAAGTATGTGAAATATCAAAAACTTTGTGCAAAATTGCCGATTTGGAAACAAAAAAAAATATGTTATTTGTTTTTAAACGCATAATGTATATTTGTACATGGTCTAAAATATAAACTATCATCAGTAATATAAGAATATTTAGGTACCTAATTTAAATAAAGAAACTAGATAATTTATATTTTAAAGGAAGTCATTTGAAAAGTAAATAAAACTCTAATATATTTTTTTAATATCCTGAAATACTTCTACTTATGCTAAATGGTAAATATATATTGGTTTGTTTTATTCTTATTAGGTATATTTTTTCATGTTTAAATTAAATGCTTTTTGTATTTATTCAGTTCTACCATTGTATAGGTTTTCAATAGGTATAGATATTTTATAGAATTCCAAGTCCTTGCTGTAAACCTAAATGCTTTAGAAGCAATAACATATTTTTATTATTAATATTATTATATTTTTTGACACGACAATAATGTCATATTTTGTTTTCAGTTCAACAAAAACGTACTTATCTTTTGAAACATTATTTTGTATTTTTTTATCTATTTGCAGTCACTTTTTTCACATTTAAAATAATCCAATGTAGGGGAGAGTTGGACAAAACAGGATAGTCGGATAAAACGGGATATCGGCCAATATTTATAAATACGCAGCGCTATCTAACGAGTCGTGGCGTTATTCACTATAAATAACGTTTGCTTGAATGTAGGAAGTGTTTATTCTCATTAATTGCTGTTCAGTAGTGAGTGACAACGGCAGTTTGAAAAAGTGAGGTTATACTATTTAGTTTTATTATTAGCGGTTAATTTAATGTTTCTTATTTTAAACAAGCAAAATAAATAACAGTGAGTATTTTTTGTGATATTGTAGATAATTGACTGTATTTTGCGACATTTGTGATTATGACAACTATTTTTTTTTGTGAAAAACTTTGAAAAGCATTTTGGAATGTGAAGTTGGGCAAAATGGGATAACAAGTGGTCAGGTAAAACTGGATACTATCCCGTTTTATCCAACCAAGAAACTATATAGATTTTCACGAGAAATTTAAACTTTACTTCTGTTACAGGCTTGTTAAAAGATGGGAAAATATAAAAGAAAAACTGAACGGCAGTCTTGGAATGAGGAAAGTATGCGCCAGGCGGTGGAAGAGGTTCTCGAATGAAGAATGGGGTATCTTAAGGCTTCGAAACAATTTGGGGTACCTCGGACAACTATTGAAGCCAGACTAAAAAAAAATTAAAAATGGGACTCTCGAACGAGAGAACTCAGCAGAAAAGGGACTAAGGCGTCACAGACCGGTTTTCTCTATGGAGCAAGAAGAAGAGTTGATGCGACACATTTTGTCTATGGAATCACGACTGTTTGGTTTTAGTTTGAATGACTTTCGAAGTTTGGCCTTTCAGTTAGCTCAACGCAATGGCTTAGCTAATCAATTTAACAGAGACAAAAAAAATGACCGGTAAAGCTTGGTTATACAGTTTTCTAAAGAGACATCCAAAAGTTAAACTTCGCACCCCTGAGCCACCATTACTTGCTAGAGCCATGGGTTTTATTAGACCTGCCGTACAAAAATATTTTTCGTTATTGCCTGACGTGTTTGAAAAATATAAAATACCACCCGAACGGATTTACAACTTCGACGAGACGGGTATAATGACAGTGCCAAAGAAAAGATCGAAATGCTTATCGTTGCGTGGGAAAAGGCAAGTTGGGTGTATATCTTCAGCTGAACGCGGCATTTTTGTCACCGTGGAAATTTGCATGAGTGCTACTGGTGTATTTATGCCACCTACGTTCATTTTTCCTAGATCCAGAGCTAAGCCGGAGCTGCTAGATGATGCTCCTCCTGGAAGTAAAGCTTTTCATCATTCTTCAGGATGGATGCAAAAAGAGATTTTTTCGAACTGGTTCAATCAATTTATTGAGTTTTCCAAGCCCTCCAAAGAACATCCTGTCCTCTTACTTTTGGACGGACATATGACCCACACAAACAATTTAGACGTTATAGAGCTTTCCACCGCATACCACGCATCGTTTACAACCGCTAAACGTCAGTTTCATGTCACCACTTAATATTATACATCAGAAGTTTAAAAATGGATGCAGCAACATCCAGGTCGACCAGTTACGATATCCCAAATAGGCAAGCTTTTCAGTAATGCTTGTATGAAAGCTGCTAGCATCCAAACAGCTGTGAATGGTTTTATAAAGATAGGCATTCAACCTTTCAATCCAGAAATATTTGGAGACTGGATGTTTGAGCCAGCTCAAACAACAGACACACCGACGAACAATAATGCAACTGGTTCAATTGAAGAAAATAATAGCCGCCCTCCACCACATACACCATCACCGATAATACAAAAGCTTGTTTTACGGCGGTTATCACAAAACCAAGTTGCAGGTGAAGAGCAAGCAAGACATGATGCAGAAAAGGTTGACAACTCCACAACAACACCGGCATTGC